CCGTCGTCGCCCGCCAGGTGCACACGCCGCACACCTGCCAGGTCCGCAGTGCAGACGTACAACCTCGGCCACACTCCCACAGAGGTTTCCCTTCCTGGCAATTATCTCTCGCTGCTCTCCACAGTGCCTCCGCCCCGCCCCTTTTACGACACCGCTGCGTACGCCCCGGCGGCGCGCGCCCCCTTTTGGCGCACGGCGGGCTGTCAGACGCGGCGCTCCCAGGGCCCCGCGCGGGAACTAGAAGAGACCCCGGGAAGTTCTGTGGTGTAATATGTACTTCTCCCTTTTATACTTTTCGCGTTTACGAAAAACACCGTTAAAGCAAAAATAACTCTCTTGCGGCCTAACGTCTCCACGCTCTTGTTCCCAAGTTTAACGGTCCATTGCAAAAAGAAATAAAGGAATCTGGTACTCAAAACGCAAGAACAATTGATTGTTTTCCCCGTAGCAATTGCCTTAGCTGCGCAGGCTAAAGTTAGTATCAAAATGCGGGGATAATGCTGTTTCTGTGGTGATTATTACGCTGGTGATGAGTACATTTGAAAGTAAGTTTCGTTTTCCCTAAGCAAAATATCCTCGAAGACTCAAAACCTTTATCTGAACTTCCTCTCTCAAATGTCATACCTGAGTGCTGTTTAAAGGACAGATGGCTCGTGAGATGACTGTAGAATTAGATTTATAGACTAAAATTTATTTGGAGAAGATTGCCTTGCTTTCCTTTTCCTGCTCTTTAAATTTTTTATTTATATATCTGAATGAACAACTATCTTGAAAATTCATACAGTATTCGATTAATCCACAACTATGCTAAAAATTATAGCAATCACCACGTTAACAGTAACAATTCTTCCTGTTCTTCCTCTGCCTGATCCAAATTTTCACATGTTTGGTAGCATTGTCTATTCCTATGATGTTTATTCGCTCTCCCACATGCACTCATTCCTGTAGCTCTTAGTAGATGAAATCCCAGGAAGATAGAAGCAATTATGATAAGGGTAGCATTTGAATCATGATGGATTATTAAATAAATTGTATTATAATTTATATTGTTATATTTACAATTGTATTATAATTGGAGTGGGAAGAATAGAACTCTACCCCACACTGTCAAAAAGAAATCCCAAAGTAGTAAATAAAACCATAAGAGCTAGAAAAATTATGTTTTAAAAAAAATCTCAGAATGGTTCTTTTTTTAATTTTAAGAGTTTATTTGAGCAAAAATCAATTAGAATCTGGCAGTACCAAACCAAAAATGGTCAGAAGGGCTCAGGAGAGGAACTTTCTAAACAAACAAACAAACGAAAACAACCACAAAAACTAAAGAAACTATAAAAGAAAAGGTTGATAAGTCTGGCTACTTAAAAATTTAAATTTTATGAAGGTCGAAAAAAACCCTAAAAATATTAAAAGTCAAACTGATGACAAAAAATAAAAATTAGCAAAAGACATGAATAGGGAATTTCATACACACACACACATACACAGAAAGAAATATAAACGGCTGAGAAAACATTTAAAAAGTTAAAACTCACTAGTAACAAAAAATCTAAACTAAACTGTAAATGTTTTAAAAGAATAAGAACGTTCAGCGTGGATGAAAGAGCTGAGTAGACATTCTAAGATAGGACTAGTGCAAGTGTAACTTGAAATTTATAGCAATCTGTATCAAATATCTTAAAAATATTCATAGCTTTAGTATGATAATCCACTTTTATATTTAAGTATGTAAGCATGTGTAAAAATTACATATATATGGTGACAGAAAGAAATCTAACTATGGGCGGTTAACACAACACAATATATATATGACATACTGTTTAATTGTACACTTGAAACTTACTGGATTTTGCTGATAAATGTCATTCCAATAATTTTTAATAAAAAATAAAAAGTTAGATATATGTATAAAAATTAGTGTACAAAACTGGTCACGGTGTTATTTACAATAGTCAAGTAACTAAAACAGCCTAAATGCCCAATAAAATAATTAAATAACCTGTGATGTATGTATATAATAGAGTACTGTGTAGCCCTTCGAAAATTCTGTTTTAATGGCGATTGATTGTAAAAGGTTTATGAAAAGGCGAGTTATGAAGCAATAAATATATATATAGTATAAGCCTTATTTTGTTTTCTTTTAAATATGCATCCATGGTTATATTCATAGAAAGGTCAAAAAAAGTATATATCAAAATATTTAAAATCGTAAAGGTGACTAGATTAAGAATGATTTTCTCTGCAAATTTCTGTACTTTGTAAAAAAAAACTACTTTGAATGTATTGCTTTTAAATAAGAAAATATAATTTTTGAGAAGCTATGTATAGTTTTAAAGGTGTTCTTATAAAAGCATTCAGGAGGACAGTCCGTCTTCCCGAGTATGACACATAATGCTTTTCATGATGTAGCTTCTGTCCACCTGTCTAGGTTCTTGCTGCAACTAAATTCAAACTTCTATTCTGGCCACACTAAATTAATTTCAGTTTTCTGAACTAACTTCATTTTCTCCCCTCCATACTTTTGCACTGCAGTTCCCTGTGCCTGCAGAATACAGTGGATGGCAGATGTGTCAGTAATAAGGTCTCATTACCTTGGCTCTGAAATACTGTGACAGCTTGAGAGAATGATTGGCTGTGGTTCCTTGCTCATGTAAGAGTTCCAGTGGAGATCTAAGAAGCAAACAGGCTCAGCAGCTTTGCAGATGATTTTGTTATTCCTATGAATCGAAAGAAAATACAAAAACTGACAAGATTCCCCAATCCAATATATAGATAACTAGAGCTTTAAAGTCTGCTTAAGGTTTAGAAAAGGAAAGAAGGGAAGGAAGGAAAGGAAGGAAGGAAGGAAGGAAGGAAGGAAGGAAGGAAGGAAGGAAGGAGGTAAGGAGGGAGGGAGAGAGGTAAGGAGGGAGGGAGAGAGGGAGGCAGGCAAGCAACCTATCCTATGTATTTAATTAAACTCAAGACACCTTGGATGGAGACGAGAGCAGGGATCCAAGGGAAAAAGCAGGAAAAGACCTCTGTGAAACTTGCCCATTTAGCCTATCCCACTCTAATGTCACCTTCACTCTGTATTTTTTAACTCACGTTCTCCTTTGTGGGTAGCAACATACATTACTTCGACTGTGTTTATTAAATTCAGTAAATGTTTAGCAACTACTATATGGAAATCATGCTAGGAAATTCATTCATTCAGTCCATAAATCTTCATTCAGTGTGTCTATGTGCCAGGCTAACTGCTTGGTGCTAGGTATTGGAAATATGTAAACAAAATGTTTCCTGCCTCCAAATAGCTCATAGTGGTGAGTGAATTAGAGTAATGTGTGAATGATTACACCTCAGTATTCTAAGTACAGTAATAGAAGTATAAGGAGCAATTGCGGTAAAGATTGGGAACAATGAACTAGAGTTTCAGGAAAGGTTTTATATAGAAATAGGTATTTAAAATAGAGTTTGAAAGCTGAGTGACTGATCAACAAAGGAGCAAAACAGAGGTATGGATGGAAATATGAGCATCTGATACGAGGAAGAGAGAATTATATGTGTCATCTATGGTGTGCATAGAAGTGTGAAACGGAAGAGCACATTTAGGTAATTACAAGGAGACTAAGTAAATAAGCAAATAATAAGCAAATGCTTATTTTTAACATTTTAACTCACATCATAGCGAACGTTAAAAACCAAGCAGTGTTGGCTCAACATCAACCTGAGGTCTCTGAGCAGCTACTGAAAATCTTTAAGGAAGATAATAACAGGGCAAAAGCTGTGTAATAACATGAGTTGTCTTGGAAAACAGTCTGTTAGCCCCAAAGCGAGTGGACCCAGCAGCGGTCTCCAAGTTAGTCAAAATTGGCCCAGATAAGCTCTTCTCAGGTGGAGCTAGTCTAACGTAAGCCTCAGGAAAAATAATAAACAAACAAACAAACAAACAAATATTTAAAAAGTAAGCCTCAAGAAAGTCCCGACCCGCCCCCTTGCAGGGCGTGTTCTGCTTGACTCCACGCCTGCCAAGGACGCAGCCCTGTGATTGGCCATCAGGCATCCTAGAGCTACCCAATCGTGTGTGAGCAGCTAGTTTAGCGTCCCTTCGCTTACGAGAGGAACATGGCGGATCGGCTCACCCAGTTGCAAGACGCTGTGAACTCGGTGAGCAATTTCACTCGATAAGTCTCTGTCTTCCTCTTTCTTGAGGTAAAGCAAGGTAGGAAAAGGAGCCCGAGAGACCAAGCCCGGAAGTGAGGAGCGGACTGAGGCAGGGCTTCAGCGAAAAGCGATCGGGGCCGCGGAAGGCGTCTCGGAGATGTGGGAGGTTTGAGGCCGGCTGCCCCAGCGATGCGGAGAACTGCGGGAGGCAGTAGCTTCTTTCTCCTGAGAAGGGGAGATCTCTATCGGGACTCTTAGGCTTCAAGGTCCTGTTATGTTCTCTGGGAACAGTTTTATTTTGTCAGTGATGCTTACGGGATCTCTTCTCGTTTGAGAGGAGGAAAGAAGAAGCAGAAGCCTTTTTCCCCTCATTATTTTAACCAACGGAGGAGAACCTGTGCTGTTGGGATCTTTGTCTTTAGATGTTAGCCGAGAGTATTCTTTCGCCAAAACTTTCGCGTTGGATTTGGGAGTGAAGATGAAGTGAGATCATCTTGGTTCCTATACATGAAGGGCCTCGTTCCATCTCTTGGCCACTCCCCAGCATAAATCATTTTGAGGAAAACTGACATCTTAATGATAGCGAATTTTCCAATCCTCGTATATTGTTTGTCTTTAATGTCCTCCCAAAAGTCTACTTTCTATTAAAGATACTGTCTTGTATGTAGCCACTCACCCTTACTTTGATCTTTCGGATTATTTTTCCTATTATGCCTAAGTGGAATGTATATGCAAACCATAAGATTCGTGTACTTATAATAACTTATTAAGAGTTAAGTAGTTTTCTATTGGTAGTTATAATTCTCATTGTCATTCTATTTATAATTTGATGTCCTAGGTAAGACGCCTATAGGGAGGGTATGTTGACTGGAAAAGACGCCTATAGGGAGGGTATGTTGACTGGAAAATCTAAGTACCAGGTTTCTTGCCATTTTGCTCCTAAGTTGCCATTCTTGTTATTACATCAGTTTTTATACACATGAAGAGTGCGAATCTACTATTGAGAAACCAGTCTACTCCGTGTGTATAAAGTAAGACATTTTAAGGCTGAGACCGCCAGCCCCTAAATGTTGATGAATAAACCAAGATAAATTCTACCTTGTGGTAACTTGCTTTGGCTGCCAGCCAACGTCCCTCAGGGATGTACTCCATTGAGGTTTTACAAAATCAATGCTGCTGGATAGAAATATTATTTTAGGGGAAATGTTGCATATTCATACATGTCTTGTAGCCAGAAGAAGAGTAAGGATAAGGTGAATATGGCCTTAACTCCAGGATAGGCATGCTGGTAATTGGATTTTGGTGAAAAGCCTCTTGGTTAACTAATATGAGTGCCTACTGTCTATATAAGCACTATTATGTTTACGGAGAGATACTCCTTAAGGAGTTTACAGTCTGATTAGAAAGATGTCATATACTCAAGAGACATTTAAGTAATGCAAAATCATATGTAGTCAGGAAGTTACAATGAATGTTTTCAGCTGTAAGTGCTGAAGTCAATTGTAATATACAATGACATATCGGAACTAAAGTAGAGGAAATCTTAACATTTATCTGAATTGTGATTATTTGTGAAATTATTAAAATGACATTTGTTTTACCCTCTGAGACGTCTATAAGAGCATAAATAGTTTTGTTCACTATATCTCTGTCATGTTTATATGTATACAGTGCTTGTCACAGTTGATTTTCGATTACTGTCTAATAAATAAATATTGAGAGCATCTGAAGGACAGAGCAGATAGCCACTGTGTTGAATATTTTTTGTGTTTTCTCTATTCCTCATAACAATGCTGTAATGTGAAAATTAAAAAACAAACAAAACCTCAAGTTACTAGAACCAGAGTTAGAATGCACATTTGTACAGCTTCTGAGCACTTACCACTGCTCCATCACATTGCAAAATGTGAGCAAAAGCAGTGTAGTCAGGAATGAATTTATCATTAGTCAGGTATGTATGAAGGAGCAGTAGAAAATGAATAAGTAGAGTTGACTTAGACTATTGAAAGCTTTGAAGCAGCCTGAAGAGTTGGAGATTTGAAGACCAGGCTGGGATGAGCTCAAAATTTTTGAGCAGGGTAAAATAACATAGTGAACTAGGAAACAGTAGGATGCTATTGTAATAATTCTGATGTGAGGTAATTGGCTGAACTAACAAAGCAGCAATGAAGATAGAAGGAAAAGGAAAAGCTTTGTAGTATTAGCAGAATTTGAAGGTGAAAGGAAAATAACAGTCCGAAGTTGGACTGATTGACTAGGAGACAATACAAATTAGATATTAAACAAAGGAAATAGTTGACTTTGAGTTCTGTTATTCATATAATGGCAGGGAAATTTAGTGGAAATGCTTATTCACTGATTGGAAATAAGGAATTGAGATTAAAGCGGTCAGGACTATTGAGAGAAGTTGGTGGAGAGGATAGAAGTCTTAAATTTGAAGATGGTAAGGAATTGGTATTGTCAATCTTCAAAACTGCTTAAGAAATACTTTTAGAGCATCGAGAGTCTACAACTCGAGTCATGGAGAAAAACATTTCTGACTACTTAATGTGCTGTCTTTTTCCCACTATTAGTCTCAGAAAAGGAATCATGTAGTTTGTATATGAATCACACATTTTTTTATTTACCCTAGAGCCATACTTAAATATTTGCCAGTCAATTTTGCTGTTTCCTACTACTGCCCCCTAAAAGTCCTTACTTGTGCTTACAACATGTATTGGCATATATTTCTCTTACCTTGGGAAGGAAAGAAAGATTATTTTGTATTTCTTTTTAACTGTTTCAAAGAGATTGATACCAAACCTAATTTCTTTTTATGATTAAAACATTTAAACACTGTTAATAATCGGCTAATTTTATCCAAAATTACTTTTTCTTGTTTTATTCTCTTGCTCAGAGATCATTATTATAGAAACTTAATATTGTTGCCACTACCAGTAAAATCCTTAAGTTTGGTAAATGTTTCCTAACTGTAATATGTTTTCTTTGGCCTCCAGCTTGCAGATCAGTTTTGTAATGCCATTGGAGTGTTACAGCAGTGTGGTCCTCCTGCCTCTTTTAGTAATATTCAGACATCAATTAACAAAGATCAGCCAGCTAATCCTACAGAAGGTAAGTAGATTTTCTTAGCTTTCCTTAGTTTGACTCTCAAATCACTTGTAATCTTTTAAAATTAGATTTATTGAGAAATTCAACTTATTTATGGCTTTCTAAAAATGTTTTAATTGTTTGACAATATTACTGCAAGTTTTGTTATAAAAAATGAATTTATTATAGTCATACATAAGATGTCATAATTCTGTTTATGTCATATAACAGATTGTTATTCTTTTAGAGGAAAATTTGTATGAATTTAGCTGAATTTTGCTTGTGGGACCTTAAAAAGGAGGGCATCTCATTTATGGATTCTTTTATTCAAATGGCCACCATATTGTCCTGATAAATTATATTTATTGTGGTTAATTCCCAATTTGAGTTAAATTTTAAAGGTAATTCTCAAACATGTTATAGGATTGGTGTGTTTAAATTACACTTCAATCATTAGAAGCCTAGTATAGAAAAGTTTCATTAACTTAATGTTTAGTTTCTATTTCTGAAAACTTGAGCTTCTCTAATATCCTGAATTAATAATGTCTTTCTCTAGAATATGCCCAGCTCTTTGCAGCACTGATTGCACGAACAGCAAAAGATATTGATGTTTTGATAGATTCTTTGCCCAGTGAAGAATCTACAGCTGCTCTACAGGTAAAAATCTCTTTTTCCTTTAAGTACCTTGCTTATAGGGAGTTTTGAATTGAAGGAGATAGATTTGATAACTTTGTTATAATGTTTAAAGTTTAAGATTAAATTTTATAAAATGGGAGTTTCATTTACTGTGAAATAGTGTAGACTGTTAGAGACCATGCTGAATATAGCTGTCCAATTTTGAGTTACATAGAAACTTCCTATTTCTCTCAGTTTAGCTCTTTTTTTTAGCAAAGAGTGAGCGGAGGTTGGCATTCTAGATGTGGAATAGAATAGTAGTGTTCCAAAGCCATGAGAAGAAGAGTCAAATATAGACAACCAGAGATATCCCATTGAAAATTCATTGTTTTAAATAATTCATACAGGGAAAACTCTTAATAGTTCCCTGATTTTAGAATTTTTGCCTATCACAATGGCTGCATGGTCATTCAGATTTAAAAGTAAATACTTCTGCAGTTTCGTTGTTTCTCAACTCTTATCAGTCTCCAAGTTTTTCATTTCTCAAAAGATATTTAAATTTGTGTTTTATAAAGGCTGCTAGCTTGTATAAGCTAGAAGAAGAAAACCATGAAGCTGCTACCTGTCTGGAGGATGTTGTTTATCGAGGGGACATGCTTCTGGAAAAGATACAAAGTGCACTTGCTGATATTGCGCAGTCACAGCTGAAGACAAGAAGTGGTACCCATAGCCAGTCTCTTTCAGACTCATAGTATGAGTGTATACCTTGTGGCTGAGAAAAGAACTATTGCAATGCCATTAAGGATTCTGCATCAGATTTAGATGTAAGCCTTACCAACAACAGTGACAGAAACATTGAGCACTATAACACATGTTATCTTTTTAACTATTTTTAATAGTCTTCTATTTTCACTCTTGATAAATCAGCTTGTAAAATTGTGATTGAACCAACTTTAAACCATCATTATACCATAATTTTTTATTATCTGAATGAAATTATTGTGGCAGCTATTGCATTAATGGTCATAATATAATTAAACAAATGTACTATCAAATTCTATTGTGACATAATTTCTATTTTTGCCATATTCTACAGTCATTTTATAAATCAAACATCCCTCAAGCCAGAGGAGAGGTGGTAAGTGCAGAAATATGGGACATTTTAATTTGTTGGTGTCCTTTTGCTTCTTTAGGGATGGCATTGTATAAATTTGGAGCTTAAGCAAGGAAAGTTTCTGAAACTATGTTGCTTTTAAGAAACAGAGAGTTAGTGTGGCTGGACGAGAAATTAGGTCACTTTTATGGAACCTTTTTCTAGAGCCTCATACCCATTCTAGTTCATTTCCATACTTGTTTCTACTAAGAAATCGTCTTCTCTGTCTGAAATGTCCATGCTGTTATGAGAGAATTTTTCTTCTTCTTGAATTATATTTTTCCTTAACTTTCACCTGTTTTTATTATTCTTTCCCTTAATTTCAAGACTAAAATATGTTCCCTGAGTCATCAGTTTCTTCTCATTTTTTTATTTATCTGAAGGTTCTGTCTTCTGATCTTGTTAACTTTTCAACATTTATTGCTGCATTGTACTCTAACCAAAACATACTTCCACTACATCAGTTACTTCAGTTTGATTTTCTCTATTGCACTTTAGTTTGTTATTGCTAACATTGGTGTCATGTATGATTATGTATCCAGCTCTTAGATCTTGAATCCACTGATTATCTCCATTAGAAAGCTAGAGTTAAAATCTGTTCCACGTTGTAACTGGTTACATCTCCCTAGGCTTCATTTTTAGCAATATCCTGAGCTACATTTCCTGCAATCTGTCAATATCCAGAGTTTAAGAAAGAGTAAGAATAATATAGTCAGATTCTGCATATTATTCTCATCATAATCAAGTTCTTCCACAGTTCTTGAAAAATACTGCTTAGGGGCACATTTTAACTACAATAATACAATTTATAGAATTATTAACTTTTAAAGTTATGTTAAATGTTATCCATACTAATAGATAATTAAAATGTTAAGCTTATTCTCTCTGACATCACTTAAAATGCATTTTATTTTTAAACACTGGCATGAAGTAGAAGGTAAGGAACCACAAAGAAAGTAATCTTCAAAATTCTAAATCCTGTTAAATATAATTAGCCCCCAAAAGAAATCAAATACAATTTGCCCAAAAAGAAGTCAGAAAAGTTGCAGCTTTAAGCTGGTAGACTAACTACTGTTAAAATATTACCCTCACCTGAAAGAAATTTTTTGAAATTGCCTTTTCTCCCCAGTTTAAGGTATTGTAGAAAAAGGACAATATCCATTCTGAAATATTCATAAAGATTGTATACAACATTGTCTCTTAGGCATCATTTTGTGGAAATGTCTATTGGATCAGGAGATCCTCAAAGCTGAAATAGATACATAGGCAGTGATAATCTTGCTGCCTAGTACACAGCTTCTAGAGAACCAAAAACAGTGACGGTTCTTTCCTTTCATCCACAGATTGATCCCTCCCTTCCCTTTTACCCAGATCTAAATTGTTTTAAGAATTAGTGGATATTTGGTTGTATTCAAAACATCCATGAGCATATTTTGTCAATGCTAAATGTGCCTTGATATTTGGTCTTATCCACAACATCCATGCTTAGAAAACATCCCTGGGTTCAAATAGCCCATAACATTTATACTTTTGATTTAGAAGATTAATATATAAAAAATACCATCATGTTTTATTGGTGCAATAATTGGTTTGTGGCTGTATTACCAATAATAACCTGTTTTGTTTTTGTTTTTGTTTTTGCCTTGGGAGCCCAGTTAGTAATAGCACACGGGATTAGGTAGATGGGTCAGCATGGACCAAATATCTCTGTGGACATTTTGGGCAGGACCAAATGTTCTGCAAGGGTTTTAAGGAGAAAGATCCTTAGAGGTGAGACCATGGTTTCTCTCTTCCCAAAGGACCACAGACCCTATGACCTGTTGGAATTTTCTGGAGACCTTGGGGAAAGTAGGGACACAAACGTTCATGACTTTGTTGGATGTGGATGCCCAAGTTACTATTATCTTTAGTGGGGAGAAAGGGTATCTGAATTCAACTCCAGTCTGGACAAAGTAACCAATGAGGGAGGGAGATGAACATCACCTCATGGCTTGGGTCTTTGAGACCAATCCAATGCACTGTGGTCATGGCTTCTACCGTGAATATATTATTGGAATAGACATCTTGTACACACAAAAGCCAGAGAAGATACTCCCACTCAGGACATGCTAAATATAGAGAGGTAGTGTGACACGTAAAACAATTCCCAGCCCACTTCCTTGACCATTGGGTGTGGGGTGCCTGGCCACTGACAATTTATTTGAACTGTATGATCCAGGAAAAGAGTAACAGTTAAACCCCTTCATCTTATTGTATTCCAGAAAGTGACTTACAGCAAAAAAAACACTACCTTTTCCCATATGACTAAAATAAGATCTGTACATTACCCCTTTTGTTTATGAGTCCAGATCCCAACTCTCCAAATTTTCATTTTTATCTCATAAATAATTAAACTGTCTGTCCTCACAAACGAGCCTGACAAAATGTCCTCTAACTTTACTCGATCCAACTTTAGGCTTCTCCTCCACATGGCCCTGTACTGGTATGTGGAATAGTCCCTCCTCGGTGACACCTCCCAAAAATTGACCCCCCCAAAAAAGACATTCCTGATTAGCAGTCCCATTATGTCACCTGCTCATCTCAGTCCTTCAGTTTTTCTAAACCAGTTTACTTCTTTCTAAAAAATGTCTTTTTACGCCTCATCTTTGACATGCTTGCAGTTCTTATGATCAGAACATTCTTCCTATTACTATAGTCTCTCTGCCCCTATTGGAATAGTTCCTCTCTTCCTATTATAATAGTTATTCAAATAGTCTTTTCTTGCCTAAATCTGGATTTGTTTTTACTTGACACTAAAACTTGTGTAGGAAAAAAATCCTGACTCGTTGCATAGCCCCAGGGCTAAGGCTGGGGCAAAGTGGGCAGAGGGATTTCTTACCTTGAAGTAATCTCTGATTCAGAACATTTTGTGTGCACATTCAGGATAAAATTAATAAAGATGATTATTGAACACCCAATACTTACCAACATATAATTCAGATATCAAAGGGGAATTATAATGGAGATTAGGACATAATTCAGAACTTAATAAAAACAAACTATATAGAAACATGGCATTCCACTAAGACCGCATTTAGAAGAAAATGCAAGTATTCTTATATTAGGAAAAAAGCTGAAAATTATGAGCTAAGCTTTCAACAGAAAAAAGGAAGTAATGGTAACAGGAGAAATTAAGAAGAAAATCATACCATGAGAGAATTAGGAAAGCCCAAAGTTGGAGATTCAAAAGAGTAATAAAATAGACAACTTAGGCAAATTTGACCAAGGAAAAAAACATATGGCTTAAATAAACAATATGAAGAGTAAAAGAAAAACATCATATGCATTGATTTTAAAATATTAAGAAAATTTGAGTAACTTCATGCTCGTATTCAAAAATTTTGATGAAAAGGATATATTCCTAGAAATAGCAAATGGGCTCAAGAAGATATATATAAATCATGGTCCTTTAACCTTTAAAGAAATTTAATCAATAGTCAGAAGTCTTCTCCACAAATAAAACATGAAGCCTAGAGAATTTTAGTAGTTTTACTAAATATTAAGGAAAAAAAATCCAATTTTACACAAAATAAAGGTCATTACCAAAATCTGACATACCAGTATAAAAATAAAAATTACAGTCTCACTCATGACCATGCAAAAATATACATTAACAAGTTAAAGCCAGTGGGAATTGAAAAATGGAATACATCACAATAAATCTGTGTTTAGTCCCAAGAGTGCATGACAGTTTTATCTTCATAAATTGCTTTGTATTTTTATCAATTATAAGATGCCCATTTTTTTCTTAACTATACCTTAAATTGGAATATTCAATGGGTGGCTGTTGTTTTCTTTCCTTATCGGAGCATAAGATAATGGTATATTTTACAATTGTTGGAATCTTTTTTTTTTTTTTTTTTACAATTATTGGAATCTTTGATTCGATTTAAAAGAAGTAATGTAGTTGTCACAGTAATAGATTAAAATCAGAATCATGATCATCTAACTTGATTCAGGAAAAGCATTTGATAAAATTCAACATCTTTTATGAAAAAGCTGGGCAAGGTAGAAACAAAAGAATTTTTAAAATATGAAGAGTACCTTATAGAATATAGCAAACATATTGAATGGTCAAATGCATTCTGTTTAGGTTTGAGAACAAGACAAGGATGGCTGCTATAACCACATCTATTTATTTTTATGCCAATAGTCCTGACCAATACAGTTAAGCATAAAAAAGAAAAAAGGAAACAAAATTCTTACTGTTTAAAGATGAAATAATTACCTAGAGAGCAAATCAAGAAGATTCCATAGAAAATTTTGGAAGAGACATCGGACAAAAAAACAATTACAACACAACACCAACAAATGCCAGAAAAAAAATTTTTTTTTAACATTTTCAATAGCATTAAAAAAATACAATAAAAATGTTAGACATATAGAGAGAAATAGAACAAAATATCAAGAAAAGAATTATAAAACTTTAAAACATTTTTTAAAACCTTAATAAATCAAGAGCAATACTATTTTTATGGAACAAAAAATCTTTTAAATGTCATTTTTTCTTCAACAGTTGCATAGATTTAACATAATTTTAAATTTCCAACTGGGATTTGTGGAAATTGACAAGTTATTTCTAAAATTTACATGGAAGTACAAAGTGGCAATAGAAATCAAGGTCCTCATGAGGAAAGATAACAATGACAGAGCTTGCTTTAGTAATTAAGACAGCTTCTATTAGTGCAAGAATAGATAAATAGACCAATGGAAGAGAATTGATCTAACATAGATCATATCTATATTAATCAACATAGATATGAAAACTTATTTTGTGCCACAGATGATATTGCAAATCACTGATGAAAGAATAAAAATGGTGCTGGAACATTGGTATATGCCATATATTAAAGTCAATGCCTA